GCAGCTCATTAACACGCTTTTCCTGAAGATAGAAGAGTTTGTTGAATCTGACATAGCATGTTCGTACGAATCCTTCATATGAACAAAAGTAAGAGAAATTTAGGATAAGAATACGAACATGTTCTTGCATGAGGCCCATTGTTTCCACACCATGTCACAAAGCGGTCCACCAGCTCTCTGTACTCAGCTTCCTGTCCATCTCTGATACACCCAACAACTGCAGAGTCATCTGAGTATTTCTGTAGATGACAGCAGTCTGACTTGTGCTGGAAGTCTGAAGTGTACAGTGTGAACAGGAATGGTGAGAGTACAGTTCCCTGTGGTGCTCCTGTGCTGCTGACCACATGGTTAGACACACAGTCCTTCAGTTCAGGAGATGTGTGAAATATGTCTACATTTTTACAACACATACTGTACTTTAAATTCTAAAACATGGTGTGATATCTCATATTATAGCGTGAGATTGAACATGCTGGGATAAAATGGCTACAACTCTTGTCATTCTCAAAACAAACTGGGCAATGACCCACTTTACTTTCTCAGATTAGCCAGTAGTTTATAAATCCAGTCACTACTTCTAATATTACCTTTTCATAACATTTCCACAGAACCTCAAGTGGTCTGAACTATCCCTTTACTCCATAGAACTCTGTAGGAAGATCATACTGTATTTTATAACCACATGATTCACATGTATACTGGACTAAATTTACTACTCAGCCAATAAAATGGCATCAATCAGTACTGTACGAGAGCACAGATGGTCTATAAATGCTGTGACTAACAGCCTGACAGCTCAGAGCAGCAGACTTTGAGCGGCCCACATTGTTCTGAAGTCTAAAGACCTTGTTCTCGCAGGATGTTATGCCTCAGCGGTGACCTTCAGACATGTTTTTAGTTTCTGGTCTATTCTTTGATTTTACACACAGAGCTGTATTGAACTCAACACTCGGCACCCTAAGGCCTGTTCTGCCATGATCTGTAGATTCATAAATAATAAAAGCTGAACATTCCTTGAAGATACCTRCTGCTTTTTCTGCCAGAGTTTAACACTAAAATCAATGGGCCTCATGCAAGAACTGTTCGTACGCACAGATTTGTTCTTAAGTTGTGCGTACGAGTGATTTAGGAGAATTTGTGGCACTCACCAATGTTTTCG